CAGTGTGGCACTCCGTGCGCCGTTTTGGCCGCGCCTGCGAGGACCTCTTGCAGCGTGGCTTCCAAGGCCGAGACCAGCTGGTGATCTAACCAACGACCCCGGTAGGCGCCCAAGCGCTTGACCTCGATCGATTGGACACTGCGACTTGAGTGGTATTCTGCTGGCGCTGGGTCAACTGAGCGCTGGTGAGAGGTCGGTAGTCGGTAGGCCCAAAAACCCTTGGATTGCCTTTTGGTTGGCTCTTAGTGGAGATCGTGCTCATATTGCGGCCTTGCGCCAAACCCGGTCTTGGTCAAAACACTCACTGTCGATGTTCCATCTCATCGCAATTCCACCCAACCTACTTCCCAGGCTTGATGAGTCTTGTAACCTTTTCTGATCATGGATAAAATTCACATAAATTCTTTGTACTGGTGCGAGTACTGCCAATTAGCCGTATCCATTGAGATCACCGGTTGGAGTTCCTGACTTCCACGGCATTGTTCGGAGATCGTTTTCACCATGGGATGCGATCTACTGAGGTCCATTGACTCTGTGCACCCCAAAACCTCCGAATCTCCATCCACTCACCCCAGCCACCCCCATCTTTTAGCCGCCAGTCCATCCAAGGCACCAGTTTCTCATGGAAGGTCCGTGCCGCGGTCTCGTTCTCAAAGGCACCCAGCATGGCCGAGGGACGGTCCAGGTGTGCCAGCTCCGTCTTCCTCGGGTTGCGCGAAGGGCGAGGAAGAACTGAAATGGATACCGGTTTTGTTCGCCTCTGTATGTCCATGGACAGGTCGGACAGGTCTGCATGTGGGGAAAAGAAAGAGAAAACATGAAAAACAAATAACACAGGAAATCATGGTGGGTGGTCGGGGAACCTGCGGGGTCACTCAGCTCTTCGGGTGGATTCATGAAATGTAACTGAAAGGTGGAAAGACTCCAAAAAGAACGCGAAAAGAAGACTCCTGGGGGCCTCTACGCCTATCGGTACGCCCCAAAAAAACACGGCCGATAGATCCTTACTGTTATGCCTATAAAACGCCTTACGCTTATGAAAAACAGCAAAACGAGAATTGGCCTCCGGGGCCGACCTCCCCACCGGTCGCCGTAGCATGCCTCTCCCGAGCGGCAAAGCGGTCGCCACGCGGTGCAGGTCGGGGATCACCACCGTCTTGGGCGCGCCGCCACTGGCGCCCTCCTCCCGGTTCACACGGGGTCCGCAAACAGGAGGATCGCCACAGTTTGGATTGGTCAAGACAAAGCCGGAACCGCATGCAAGTGCATGTTTGATTAGGGCGGTGGTTTCCGTTGCCATTGCCAGACTTGGCAGGTTTTAAAAACATAAGAAACTCCAAGCTGCGCCTGCTCCTTGCACTTGGTGCGACTCAGGTCACGTACCTATACTTTGGTACCACTTGACATGGGAATGTTCAGCCTGCCGAATGATGCAGAAAAACTCTGGGTTGGCCGGTCGGTGCCAACGCCCAAGAAAACTATGCCATTTTGCATCATCGCCATGTGAGGGAACGCGTGCTAGACCGCAGATACCATTGCCACACTAAGGACATGATGTGCTTTTTCGGTGATTTGGTCTCCCCCCCCGGTGGCGAAGGAAAAGTGGGAGTTCTTTGGAAGGTACACAGGGTGTGCTCGTTGAGCCTGAGAACCCCGAGGTCCTTTTTTGAGACAAGCGAGGCCCACCCTGGGGATCCATCGGTAACAGGCGGCCCCTCTAGAAGGTCACAACACTTGGTTTGTTCGGGTCAAAATTCTACAAAACATGGACGAAGAAACCCACAAGAGAGGCTGGGAGGCCCGTGTGTCCCTCTAGATGTTCTTCAACAGAGTGTGCACCCATGGCCCAAAATCCGTGGCCTCAAGAATTTAAACCAACGTCACCCAAACCGGCTTGAAATGTTCTTTGAATGTTCCTCTTTATCTTGAGGGTGTAGCTGAAGCCTTCAACCGCAGCATCCCTGAAATCAGAACACCGGTGAACCAGGCTGCTCCCCCCCGCAGAATCGCCCGAAGAATGCGCCCGCGTGCGTCAAGGAGGCGACGCGCGACGCATCGCCTCGGAGATGGATGCTGCGCCCCCCGCGAAGGTATAGGGCAGGCTGAGCCCCTCATGCAGCTCCTCATCGCAGAAGGCGATCGCTTCAAGCGCAGAGGACCCGAGTGGTTCGGGTGACTCGATGGATCCTGGGGGTCGAAGGTGTCTCCCTAGTCTCTTACACCCAAGAACAAGTGAGTGAGATCGCGGTGGAGTGTCAAACGGCAGACGGTCTCAAGCGACCCAACTGAGTTGAGCTCCTCAAGCGACGGCCTTTCGATCCGAGACGAGACACGAGGAGCTCATGAGGAGCTCAACTCACCAGCGGCACCTAGGGAGGGCCACCGGCTGGAATGTTCACCTCTTGAACTTGTAGCCTTGAGGGGCTCCCCCAGCACACGCATCAAAACTTTTATATAAGGGCTGCCCACATTCTGCCAGCATGCCATCTTTCTAATTATTTGCTGTTCAGTCCTCACACACACACACACAATTGCACAGATTGAACACGCAGAAAGGGCCGGTCCTTGGTTCTTTTGCTGTCGCTCCCCATCAGCCGTCCATCCTCCCACCCTGCAATTTGGAGGAACACCTGTACTCAACTGACCTCCCAGTCCGTTGAGTTCCCTCGTGGCTCCTTGTGTTCCCCAGTCTCTTCGTCCAACCACAAGAACTTGCGTGTGGACGTGACCCACCAGATCTTCTCCTCAGAGCTGTCAGAGCTCACCGGGGCGGATTCACCAGGGTGGAGGGGCAGAGTGACCAGGGAAACACGGAAACTGGTGATGATCTATATACCGTGTTCAAACAGAGAGTCGTGTTTCTGCCTGGTGGACACTTCATGACACGAGCAATTCCCCAGAGTTTGAGACCAAGAATCGATCGATAAATGATGATAAATGAATCCCCTCTAAAACCTCTAAAGTTGAAAAACTGTCCACATTTCGCCTACGTGGCCGGCTTGTGATCTCGGCAGCATGCAAACCATATGCAGAGCGCAGAAGTCTTGCCTCTCCTCATGAAAAGTCCCAAGAAAGCAAGCACCCAGAACCTCTGGTGTATTCGAAATCATCTGCAATTATGTCGAAGGCCCCGCACATTTCATGAGTGAGGGCTTCTGAGGCCCCCTTTTTCCACTCGGCTCCCTCCAAAAGGACATCTCCACCCCAAACAGTGCCCTTCACTCTCTCCCCTCAGCCAGCCGAGCGTCGGCCGCGTTGTAGTACCACCCGACCTTCTCGGTCTCTTTGAAGCCCGGGGGCACATCATCGACCCCCGCGCCCTGGGCGGCGACGTGACCGACCGTGCGTTTCACCCTAGGCGACGTGAGTACGTAGGAAATCAAGGAAACCAACGTCGTGAAAGGAGGCCAAGTCGTGAGAAACTGGGTGAAGAGAGGGTGAGAACAGCCACACATGTTAGACTAATTGATGGATCAAAGAAATACAACACCTCTCGCCCACTCTAGGTTGACATCCTTGGTCATCTGTGTGGACTGATTTGCTCAGTGGCCTCGAGATGTGAAGACACATCCAGAGTTCTCTCGACCGGTTTCAGTATGCCCTAGGAATGCCTAGGTGCGCAGGGCACATGTGGCCTGATGGATGGATCACAAAAAACAAGACTGGAGGCGTAGAGTCTCGGACCCATGGTCTGAGACCCAAAAACAACAAAGGGTTCCTCCAGAGGTTTGAAACACCCTGGTGTCCGGAGAGGTTTTTTGCGTGTTCTACAAGGTGGAACACGTCCATGAAGTTCTCATTGAGGAAAAATGCGAGAAAAAAAAACTCCATTGTTACTACTAGCTTCTTGTTACTACTAGTAAGGCACTTGTTACTAATAGCTTCTTGTTACTAATTTGTTGCATTCTTCCAAAGGATGACATGTTGGTCTAGAGGGGTTCGCATGTCCCAAATTCTTGGGCCATTCGCAAGGACTCGCCTTGTCCTGGAAGAAAATGGTCCTTGAAAACGAGTGATGTTGAGGCGACCAATCGACATGGTGAGGTTTGGAATGTACCAAATAATATACCATTCGGTAGTCCAGATAGCCAAAATGTCAACCTAGAATGATTGTGGTTTGTTTTATGTTCAGTGACCTCCACATGGATCGGAAACCCTACCCTTGTGTTGCTGACAGTCCACATCTTTTTTAACGCACCATCTGTCTCTACAACAAGCGCACACTTTGGCACTGCAACGCGCTTGATGCTACTCAAACTCAACAACTAATGGACCAATAATGGAATAGGGAGACCCTCCAAACCAGTGGGGTTGAGCTGATTTATGATTCAAAAGCAGACGACCATCCACCTCTGTACATGGCATGGCATAGATGGACGCCAAAGCCACAGGAGGTCATTGACTTGGAGGTGGCTCCCTCCGAGTCAGGCGGCCCTGGTCGCTGATTTAGCGACCTCGGAGCCTGGCGAGGTCAGCCTCCCTATTCCTGAACCCTAATAGAGCTTGAAATCTGCCTCGCTGGGTCGTGCAGTTGGCACCAAGCGAGGCTGGTTGGCCGTGGCTCCGTGCAGGAGCTTGCGGTCTTCCTCCACAATTACGGTGACCTCCAGGCTCTTGAAATGACCCGGAAGAGGGCGCAACCTAGGATTGAATTGGCTGATCAAAGACCTAGGACACATGAGTTATTGTATCTTACATGGACAGGTGTAGGGTCTTAATTTGTTTGGTTTTGAGGGACCTCATCGTGGTTCCTTTGACGAACAAGGGGTTTTCCACTTCTCTGTTACGGTCCCAGATTGGTGGATTTGGCAAACTCTAACCAATTGTGAAAACTTGGAATCTCCAATTCTCCAAGTCACACGCGCACCTTCAAAGGACTCTGGGGTGGCCGCTGAGACAACACGCGGTAGAGATCATCCATGGAGCCCACCGGCTGTCCGTCCGCCGCAACTAGCAAGTCACCCGGCTGAATTCCAGCGCGTTGAGCCGGTCCATCTGGGTCAAGGGCCGCCACCTGGGGAGGCTGGGGAGTGTTTGACCAAGCCTAGCCTTCAGCTCGAGCATGTGAAAAATCCTTGAGCTGGCTTGGTGGTGCAAAATCCTGAGTAAAACATTCTAAAACAAAGCTTCTTCATCTTGAGTCTTGACTCTTAATGGTGCTTCGAAGCAGACTATCCCACAGGTACCAAGAGAGGTTAAGTGACTAAAAAAGGATGCTACTAGGGGTACCTATGGAATAGTCTGGTTCTTCAACCTCTGTTGCTACCCCGTACTAGGATCCTTTTTGGGTCACTTAACCTCTCGGTTGCGACGTGTTTTTCCTTACAAACAAGCCCCATATGCCACGTTCATGACTTCTGCACATTTCCGTCACTGAAGTGCTTCGAAGCTGTTTCCATCTCCCCTTTGCACTGGAACTGGAAGGCGTCTTTTTCCCATCATTCTCTCCCTGGAACCACCATTGTAAGATATAGTACAGTAAGGCAGCCGGAAAAAAAAAGAACGGAACCTGCACTGCCGTGGGCATCAGCCCATGTTGTTGCTGCAACTGCCGGTGCATCGCCCGGGAGCCACCCACGATGCCGAAGTAGCCGCGCTTCACGCGGCCGAACTGCATGAGTTGCGAGACGACGAAGGACAAGGTGTTGGAAGGCACGGCAAAGGCCAGTCCTCCCAAAAGGTTGGTGTGTCGGGTGTTTTTCGTTCTACTAAACTGGATCCAGACTCACCAGAACTGGTGTTCTTCTTTTCATCTTGGAGCTTGGAATTGTCCTCCAAACCCTTGAAGAAAGGCACCAAACGACACCAAAGGACCAAAGGATACCCCGTCATCGACCCCGCGATGTGGTCCTCGCCTTGGGTCCCAGAGATGATGGCGGTGTTGACGCCCACCGCGCGGCCGTGGGAGTCCACCAAGGGGCCCCCCCGAGTTGCCGGGGTTGATGGCGGTGTCCGTCCTCACGTCTTGGGCGGGTCGGACCGCTTCTCCGTGGAAAGGGGGAGGCTGGTCTACATACGACATAAGACATGTATAGAGGTCTTATGTCTTATGTCTATGGCAAACCCGAACGGTTCGGCCACGGTGACGGGATGAAAGGGCTCAGGACGGGAGATGCTTCGGGCCGGTCCATCGAGCGGAAAGCACCACGATCGACGGTGAGCGAAGTGCTTTGAGAGGGGTAGATCTTGGCCCAATGAAGAACCCTTGCAAACCACCCTACACACTTACCAAGGTCGAGTCGTGAAAGGGTGCAAGAAAGAAGCCCAACAGTTGAAAGAGCTACCCTCACCCAAACTACCATGGCGACCCTGAAGTGGCCTTTGAATTGCTTTTGGTTCTGCCACTCAGTTATTGCCATGTTAGTTTGTGTAAAGGATGTCTGAACTCGATCAGAATCTGGATGATGTTGTCGATCAATCTGCCCGATTGCGAGCGCAGGGATCGACCCAGGGCAGAGACCACCCCTGCACTCACTGAGTTGGCATAGCCCAGCGGGTTGCCAATCGCCACCACCAGCTGTCCAACGCGCAGCTTCGCGGAATCTCCAAGCTCCACTGATGGCAAGGACCTGCCTCTGGAAGGAATTCGAACGATGCCAATATCCGTCGGTGGATCCCGACCCACCAATTCCGCCTGGAGGACCGTGTCATCGGTTAAGGACACCACGATCTCCGAGCCGGCATCACCCAAAACGTGGTCGTTGGTGACGATGTAGCCATCAGAGCTGAAGACAAAGCCACTACCTTGTCCTTTGCCATCCCTGTGCTTCACGGCCACAACTGCCGGTCCAACAGTGTCGACCACATTGGTGACCACCTGTGAATACGCATCCAGTGCGGCTGCTTCTGTTGAGAAGGTGCTTCCAAGTTGCCACCGAGCTCTGCGCAAACCATGTCTGGGAATGCCTCTCCATGCGGTGCAAAGCGCCCTCATGATAGGGCGATCTTGTGAGGCAAAGCAAGTGAAGATCTGAACCAAAAGTAGACACGAACTTGGTGGTCATCTACATTAGTTGTGACTTCACCTGTCTGAATCGGTGCTAGTAACCATTCATCATCGGGCTTGAAAGGCTGTTACTTGAGCTGTGTCGTTCGAGCGGAAAGCAAGCTCGGTCTCTGAACATCTTTGACCCCATGACTGAACTTTGACCCTGAAAGAGCCGCTTTGACTCCATGATTTGGTGTCTATCAAACGTGCTCTCCGAAAAAGAAAAGCAAGATCTCGTCTACAAGGCTTTCCCTACTGGCAGATTGAAGCCCATGTCGATGCCTTGCAGAATATGTCTTTAATTGTTCCATCAACTCACGGTGCTACCGTAGTACTACCTGGAATATTTACCCAAGGTTATACCCCGTGTTCCAACAGCATATTTTGTGCATGAGGGACCGGCTTCTCAGATCGACCTGCACAACGGATTCCACGGGACGCGCAGCGCGTCCCAGGTCTGCGATCAAACAGGCAAGGATGGCGATGTTGGACCTCTCGTGAGGGGTATGAGAACCCTCAAGAACCCCCAAGAAGCAAAACCTCCACAAAGCGTCTCCTCCTCAATCCCGCAGGCTTCAGGTCTCCTATGTCGTTAAGTCCTCCGTCGTTGACGTCCTGCGGTCGTTTCATCCACTTGCTCCGCAGTAAACCCAAACAGCTTGGCCATGTGGCGTGGTTCTTAAAGAGCTCCGGATTGTTCGCCTGGCGCTGAGGCATGCCAGTGACAAAAGCCCCCCAAAAATAAACTGACTGTTTTAGAGCCCCCGAGTCTGGCGTGGATGGCTGTGGCTCCAAAAACAAGACCCCCACCAAAAAAGCAAAACTCCGCTTTTTAGCGTAGTCGTCCATTCCTGAAGAGTGTGGAGGTGAATTGCATTTTGGAGAAGCCAAGCCAGAAGTTGTTTATAGTGGACGGACTTGGGCATTGGCTTAGAGCAGTGTTTGAAAAAAGAATGAAACACTCAAAGCAGTCTTGACTTATAGAACCTTTTGGGGGACCTCTAGGGGGATGCCACACCCTCCGGCCGCCGCGGGGCTCGAGCTAGTCGAGCAGTCGGGTCGTGGTCTTGAAGGTTGGTCGCATGGGTCGCCTTTTACGAGAGAATGTGTCCCCACCACTTTCTGCTGCGATCTGTTCAAATTGCATGAAGTTTTCCAACTACAACCCGCCCTGAAAACTCTTGGCACCATGTAAGTGGCTCCAAAGCATCCTCGGACTGGGATTTGAGCCAGATGGTCCTAGCCCATGATTCTGGGAGGAAGATGTTTAACGAGACATGTCCAATCACGTCTCTTTAAGGGGTCTGACTACATATGACCCGTCGCGAGAATCGTGGACAAGATCCAGCGTGCGGTGTCTTCATGGTGTTCAGGCGTCCGATCAAAGCAAGTGGCGCCATTGGGTCAAAACCCGGAGCAAAGATATGAGCGATGCATAGGGATTCGACAAAGACATCATGAACCGTTTCACGCTGCTAGGTTGACCTCCCTCGTAATCTACTTTGACCCAGAGAGTCCAGCTCATGACTCACCCCAAACGGCGAGGCGTGATTGTGATGGCTAGTACTGCTATTGTAGGAAAAAGGTAGTAGGGATATGGAATACGTTATTTTCGGTGGTCCACCAAGGGTCCCTGGGCTTGGACCCCACCCAGAACCCACACACCTTCAGCTTCCACAAGTCCTTTCCACCTGAGAGGAGGCACGGCTTCCCGGTGGGATGCGATTTCGCAGCTCTATAGCACGGTCAAACTGTATCCAAAGAGCCTGAAGAACATCGGAGGTGTCCCACTCACTGCTGCTTTTGGGGGAGGCCCCAGGGCGGCTGGATCCATTCCGGAACCTTTCATGGTCTCCCAAAGACCATCCATTCGTGGCCCGCGCTCACCAAGTCAACTAATTGGTGCTGATCGGTCATGTGTGTGTGTGCAGGCCTAAAGGCCATGTCACCCTCCAACACCGCGTTTCCCAGCGAAGCGAGGAAAACGACTACCAGATCGGGAGTATCGTTTGCCGATGGTCCAAGGCCCCTTCGTTGCGAAAAAAACAGGCCTCCCTTGGAGGCAAACCTGGATCTGCACCACAGCCATGTCCAACCGGGAATCCCCAGGTCTCAGGTCTTCGGATGTCTTCGGTCCAGAACTCACTCAGCACAGCCATGGCCCCGGGCTGTTGCCACTCGTGTACCAAATGTTCGCACTGGCGACGCCCGCTTGCCGCTCTTGTTTGGCGGTCAGCACCGCGGAATACCTGCCAATCGATGCGAAGGATCGCACCTTCCCTATACCCAGACGCTTCGTTCACAGCCCTTGGTCCCTCAAAACCTAGGGATGGCCTCGACCCCATGCCCCTCCTGTCCGGAGTCGAGACCGATCCGTCCAGAGGAGTTGGTTGGATGAGTATCCAATGACACAGAATCCATTCAAAACTCATTCCAAGGCTCAGGGATTTTGCAGGCGAAGTTGAACAAGGCACACCCTCCGCACAAAGTCTCAAGTTCTACTTAACAAGCACTTCCCTTGTTGAGCTAATCGAAACAATCCTCCATAGAGGAGGATTGTACCTTGGATTGGCTTCTACTCTTGTCCCAAAGTAGAGACGTCGGCTTTCCCACTTTGCTTGTCATGAGTGCCCCTGCTCCCACCTCCTCCCCCATGGACATGGACAGTGGCCATCAGCACCACATGTTGATGCATTATTACTATATATATATATATTGAAGCCAAGGTGAATCATTTAGCTTTGCATGTTACAGACAGTTGTTGAAAGGGTTGCTTTCACAGGTTTGTAGCCACTTCATGACTCCTAGTCTCAGGCCCACTCCTAGCTTCGCGCTTTTTCGCTCAGAAAAACGCTTCGTGCACAGGCCACGCACTCCTGGAACCATGGGGAGATCTCATACTCTTTGGATTTGCGTTCTCCAGGAACTGGTAAAAACATGTAAAAAAAGGGAGAAATCAACCACCGCGACCAACGGGGGATTCACCCCCCACCGGGGGGGGGGGGATGAGAATACCCTACACCGTCGTAGCGACCTTTGGCCCGACCTTTGGAGCCACAGCGAGCCGCGAACGGTGAATCCATCGGACACGCGAGAGGCCACTGCGAGGACTCGAAGTGGTTCGTGCCAGTCGGTTGATTTGAGGGTCTTGACCATCCTTGTGCCCACAGAACCTCCATCACTTGCTTCGTCCCCAAACCTTTTGCTTCCTTGCCTCACAGGAATCTCACCCGCAGCCCAACCAAAAACGCGACTTGGAGTCCACGCTTGCTTGCCATCGCCAGGAATCTTCAACTTTCCCATACAATGACTTCCGCAGTGAAAAAGGTGCTCGTGTGGGGTGTGGGGTGTGTCAGTGTGTGTATGGGGTCTTTGACTTCCGCCAAAGCGTCTGTGGAGGAGACGTGGCCCCCCAAAAAAACCTTTCGTCACTCTTGCCGGGGTGGACCGGAAAAAGCACCCGACCTCAGCCGGTTATTCTGAGTCTCCAGGATTTTGGTACATGACTTGTGTGACCAGGGACCATATTATATGACGACTTCAAAGAAACTCTTGGACCTCAGTGCAGTGTTCAGTAATGTTTACGCCTTTCCATCGAAACACACCAGGTTTCGCAGCTTCCATGTCCGCTTGGTGCATGTGTGCTTGGACCGGGCTTCTTGACATCTTCCATGCATGAAGCTGCCGGGAAACCTGCACCTTGAGCCTGCTGCAGATGAACCGATCGGCAACTGATCAACGAGCTCGGGCTCAGGTGGCGATGCAAACGGCTTGGAAACCTTTCACCACATCCGAGACCTACCACAGTGACCTACCCGGTTGGGTGTTCAGGGATCTCGTGTCCAAAAGCAAAGCCAAGAGGCCCCCAGTCAAAATGAGAAGTGGATCCCTCGGAAGATCATGTTCCTTTGTTCCTTGTCTTTTCAAAGTCAGTCATTGTTGGAGGGAGGGTATGGGAGAAGACCTGGTGCTACAAAGCACTACCTCACTTTCACAAACCTGATGGTCAACCTCTGTCACAAGCCTCAGCCCAAGGGCTCTGGCGATGAAGACTTCATCAGAGCGTCTTCCACTGGTCATGTGTGATATCAGGACTTGGCTCCATCCTCCAGTGGTCGCAAGCACAATTGGATGTTTGTTACATGGAGCCAAAGACTCCAAGCTGCTAACGGAACCGGAGGTCACCCAACTACAGTATAGAAATTGATATTGGACTCTTGAGCTTCCGCCACGGAGCAAGTCACACACCTCCCAACGTTCTCCCAACATGTTTCCCAACATGCCCCCCCTCACTGCAGAACAGCAAGAGCTCTCCCTCCCAACTCTTGAAACCTCTCCCCATGGCTCCTCCACTGCCCCACTTACCAAATCTCTCATCCCAACGTGTCCATCAATCGCACTATTTTCTTCTCCCAGCATCTCCAATCTTCCACTCCGGCTCTTTGCTTTGGGCCTGGGCTTCTCCCGCACCTCCACCGCCACTTCCGCCGGCTCGGGCGGCTCGGGCGGCGCCGGGCACGGAAAGCGCTGGCGGTGCAGCAGCAGCTCGGCGGCGGAGCGGGGCGTGCGGGTGGAGGGCGGGTAGCGCAAGAGGCTCGCGATGAGTTCCGCCGCCAAGCGGGACATCGTGAACTCAGGGATCTCGAAGTTCACAGAGCAAATGTTGTCCTCAGGGGATCTTTGAAGTGCACACGGCCCTAAGTCTAGTGAAGGGGGAGGGAGGGAGGGAGGGAGGGAGGGAGAGGGAGAGAGAGAGAGAGAGATCCTGGCTTTCAACTTGGAGTTGTTGGACAAGTCAGCTGACTTAACTTGTAGCTGATTCTTCTCTTTGAGTGTTTGAGTCGATAAATTGGCTAACTATGTGAAGAATCGAAGGCTTCTTGGGGTTGAGAGATACACTCTTGGATGTGGATGCAATCATTGAATCGTGCTCACGTATCTATCGA